TTTGATTAAATTTAAAACCATCACCACCTCTGGGCGTTCTAGAGACAGTGACTGATTTCTTGAGCTTGAGTACTTGCTTTAAATTGAAAGAGCCTCTAAAATAGAAACAATGTTCCCATGAAACACACAACATGGGGAGAACGCAATAAGGGCTAAACTAACCTTGGTTTTAGCTGACTCATTAAAAAAACCAAGATATATGGACACAGGTCTGAAAAAATAAGCATGTCATTTCTTATTCCTTTTCAGACACTAAGGTAACAGGTTTTTGGTTTTTGTTCTTCCTTTTTAAGTTTACCTCATTTGAAGACAATGTTCTTCTTTGATGGACACAAAGGCTGAAGAGGCCATCAGGAAGCAAGGTGGTCTCTAAGCCGCTAGGTCAACCTTTTCTTTTCTTTTTAGTTTGTGAACAGGTTATCAATTAGAGATGTATTGTTAGATCAGTAGGTGACACTAGGTGATTTTAATCTTCTCTGCTCCTGTGAACTCAACTCATATCAAGAAGCTAATTAAAAGGAATCACACTCTAATAAAAAAACTAATTGCTGACTCATAGCTCAACTGTCAGAAATTAAATAGTGGCTTTGGCATAAATGATCTGATACATGAGAAAGATTCAGAGGAAATCTTCAGTAGAAAACAGTGATGAACTAACCATAATTGGGTAGAAAGGCGTGTAAGACAGGCCTGGGTCCAGGCCTTGGATCCAGTATGGAGACAGACTGGTTGGCTGGTTCTCCTCTCAGGCACCCTTCTCTGTGAATTCACAACCCCTCCTTGCTTTGCAGGGTCTCTAAAGTCAGCACTTGAGGGCTCTCTTGGGTCTTGTGCAATTTTCCTTTTTCAATCTGTCCTTAGAATTTCCATCCAGTTTTCATGCCTTCCATGAAGACATATATAAGATTCTTACATATCGTACCTCTACTCCTGATTGCTCTCCCACAAATTTAGTACTGCATTTCCAAAACTTTTTGAACATCTGCTGTCATCTCAAATTCAACGTGTTCAGAACCAAACTCATCATTAACTGATCTCCCTCCTTCTTTCCCCTCCCTCCCTCTACTAATTGGCCCTGTGGTAGGCATGGGGCACAGATGAAGACAAGGCACTCTAACCTTAAGGAGCTCAGAGTCTGTCTCCATATTGGATCCAAGTATCCTACCCTTAAAAACAACAACAAAAACTTATTATGTGTACAAGGCAACCAAAGCCAAGAAAGATCGAGTGGCTTAAGGTCACATTTGCTACTGGCAAAGTTAGAAGTTAAACCCAGGATTCCGTACTTGCTAATTTCTACCAAAGACATCATAATTCTCCCAGCTATTCTAGTTCAGACTTTGAGAATACACATGATTTCTCACCATGTTTCACCCTCAATGACCAATTAATCAAAAAGCACTTTAATGCCTTTCTTTTTCTTTCCTTTCTTTTTTATTTGTCAATTACAGTTGACATTCAGTATCATTTCATATTAGTTTCAGGTGCACAGCATAGTGGTCAGACATTTATATAATTTATGAAGTAACACCCCGATAAGTCTAGTACCCACCTGGCACCATACATGGTTATTACAATATTATTGACTATATTCCCCTATGCTGTACTTTACATCCCCATGACTATTTTATAACTACCAGTCTGTACTTCTTAATTTTAATGGCTTTCTTTTGAACATCTCTAATATCTGCCATTTCCTTTGCTTTCCAACCATCACCAGGCCAACCCTCCAGGTCAGCGCCACTCTCACACATCTCCTTGAGCTGGCCAGCAACGACGTTCACTCTCCCTGACCTTGCCAGCATTGGCACATTTTCCTTACTTGACCTGCATCCACTCTCCGGCTATCTCCCCTCCTTCAATTGGATCCACATGTGGCCACCAGAATACTATTTCTAAAACACCTTGGACACAGCAACTCCCCTGCTCCGAGCCCTGCAGTGAGTCTCAGACCTCGGCATCCTGTGTGGAGAAAGGGGTCTCTGGCTATGCAGAAATACTGCTTCCACTCTACCGCTCGGAGAATTATCTTTGCTTGAATCACTATCTCCCAAATTTATTTGACCACAAAACTTCTTTTGCCAAGGAACACACATTACCACCCCTCACATCCCGTGTTTGCAGAAACGCACTGTAGGCTACAGCATCACGGGTTGACTAGGCAGCCCAGATCTCCTCTGCTCTCCTTCCCAATCTTATTTCTTATCTCCTCCATGACTGCCTGCTCCAGAAACACTGCTCATTTCATTGTAATATGCCATGAAAGTAATAGTTTCCCTTTTCTTTGTTTTCACAACTTCTCCAACTAGAAACATCCCCTTTCTTCCTCTCCACTTAATTAAATCTTACCCTTCCTCCAACATATAGTTCACATCCCATCTCTTCTATAAATCCTTTCCCAACTCTCTCATTCCAAACTACCAGAGCATTTATTTACTGTATCAGAAAACCAAAATCTCAACAGTGGAAAATACCCATAGTTCACATTTAGGTCAAGAAGCTAATAAAATGGCAGAATTTTCCCATCAAATACCTTCAAAAGTAATTTACAAGGTAAGGTTATATTACACTCACAAGAACTGTATTTCTATAAAACTATCAGGATCTTTAAGTAGAAGGGGAAAAGAAGATTTAACATCAATAAATAATTCACTATAGCTGACACTGAGTTCTGCTGTTTTGACCAGAAGAACTTTATAAAATAAACACTAGGAAAGTTTCATGCCTTCATTTTCATTTTGCAAAAATTGTCAAGAATCAGCTAATAAATGCTATCACAGGAAGAAAACCTGAATAGTGTACAGAAAAAACAAAACCATTACAGATGCCATGAACACCACTGTACTTTAACTCTCCTTCCTGTTTCTGGTGACTTTTTTCCCTATAATATCAACAAAATTAGCCTCATTTAAAAGATACCATTTCTGTGTGTCACTGTTCTAAAGAATGTTTTTCTTCCTAATGGTGAAAAGATACCTTGTGATAATGCCCAATTCAGCTTCCTATCTGGAATTCAAAAGCAATCATAATTCAATGCCTCACTTTAATACACATCTATCTCCATCAAGAAGCTTGAGCACGAGAAGAAAATCCAAGGTAACCCTAATCTTTCTCCTTCTGGATTGGACATGTGCAAGACTTCTCTGTGGGCCTCCCACCTCTTCCTGACACCAGTGCTCACTATCCCTGAGTCATCCACACTCAGAAGGACTTGAGAAACAGGACAGTATTCACCAGTGTGGATCTCTGGTACCAGCTGGGAAGGATCCTTGACTGTTCACACTCTGGACCTGACTGGCATCTCTGAGATTGCCAGGACTGTTTGCTCCTCCCTGTCTCCATCCATTTGCTGCTTGGATTGTAATGCCTTCCTAATCTTTTCAACATCTCTGGGCTTGACCTATTTTAACAGGTATCTATCTGTCCTGTCTTTCCAAGACTGTATGTTCATCTTGAGGTTTAACCCATCATATCTGAATACCCCTTTACTCGATTGAGCAGTGGAGTCATCTGATGTAAAAGAAGATTCAGCCCCAACCCTCTTCTCCAACCTATTTTCCTATGTGAACCCTTAACTTCAAACCACCTGATCCATCCATGGACCCTTGAATGAGCCATGTCATGCACATCACCAATTTTGATTCCAAAAGTCTTGTCCTATAAGAAAGACCCAGTTCAAGGCTCTGTTCTCCAGAAGGCTTCTCTAGCTTTTTAGTCTGATAATCACCTCAGCCTCTGAACTAGTATCCTGACTGTCTTCATTAGTGATTCCCATAGCAGGTCTCACAAAACAATAGTCCCATGGAAGGTTTCCAAAGGGAAGACCTCCTCTCGGAGATTACAATGCATATTATTATATTAAAAACTTTTAGATGTCTTACAATAAATTTCAAACAATACTCTACCCAGTTTGTCTGAAACTTAATTAGCCATGGAATCCCTTTTCTATGCGATATCCTTTAATAAATATTTGGAAGTGCAGACATAAGGAGAACAGGTCTACATAGTCAGGGGCGTTTCCCACAAGTGACCTTGTATTCTAATGCGTTCTTGTGCCGATGCCTTCTCTCCAGCAGATCTGAATGGTAACAATCCAGCAGCTCTAACTAGCTGTGGGCTTTCTCAACTCCGATTGCTGTCTTTACCCTCAGATCACTCTGTGCTTGCTAAGTGTGAGGTAATGCACAGTGCCTAGCACACGGTAAATATAGAAGACACTAGCTACTGTCATTTTGAGACAGTGGGACAGAGTGGTGAAAAGTTGGGTTTGTGGGATCAGACAGACCCTGTTCTAACCCTGGCTCTGCTTTCACTAGATAGACAGTAAGATCGAGGATTATGTCTGTTTTGTTCATCGATGTCTGGTACACACACACAGAGTGCCTGGTATAGAACATGCAGTCAGTAAGTATTTATTGAGTGAATTAAGGACAACGCAGTTTTCAACCAAGCCATTTTGCCCACCATGGGACATTTGGCAATATCCAGAGATAGTTTTGGTTGTAACAACCAGCATCTGGTGGGTAAAGATCAGGGTTGCTATAAAATATCCTACAATGTCCAGGACAATGACTATCTAGCCCCAAATGTCAATAATGCAGAGGCTGAGAAACCCTACACTAGAGTTAGGCTAATCAGAGATATATTTCTACTACTGACACAAACTGCTTGGCCTTGAGTAAGTTACCAAATTTCTCCAAATCTCAATTTCTTCCTTTGTGGATTGGGGGATTAACCATAACTGATAATATATATACAAATGAAATAAATTAGGTAATGCATACAAAGTGTTTAACAGGGATTGGTGCATAGAAAGTGTGACCTATAAATCTAACCTATGAGCACTCTTACCATCAGCCTTCACCCACTGCCTCATGATGATGAGGCTCTTCAGGCTATCAGAACTTGCTGTATCAATCCCAGAGTGAGTCCTCTCATCAAAACAAGCCCTGCACTCCGCTTATGTTCACTGTATGTTCAGATCGTATATATGTGCTCACCAGAGGCTCAATGGTGAAAATATTATTCAAGAAGAGCGAGCTGTCTGCCTGAATCAGCTTCCTCTGGTTCTTGAAGGTGCGGGAGAGGATGGACAGGCGCTCTCGGAGGGAAGGGTCAACGACGCACTCCTCAAGAAACTCATCGGTCTCATCTTTCTCCTCTCTGCTCAGGTCCTCGCAGACCCTGGAGGAAAGCGGGACACGTGAGGTTCACCTGGCACCCCCATGAAGACCGCCTGAAAGGGCTACCCCCTCTGGGCCACCCTCCCGGGAGTGATCTCACCCATTGCCCTGGGCTGGTCACTCCTTGCCCTGAGTGTGCAACATCTGTCTGAGTGACCTTGTACTTGAACTTCGCAAGAGCGTCAGTTTGCTCTTCAGTCATTTCCTTCAAGAAGTCCTCCAGGCCTTCCTGTCCTCCACTTGCTTACTCCTGAGCCCTCATGCAGATTTGGGCAATTATTTTCTTTTAGGTAATTGTGTTTTCCAGGTTTCTTTTTGAACACTTTACATCTACTCTACCTCTCACACTTCAAGGACAATTTTGTTTCTTTGAAACTTGCTTAGCTTTAATTCTTTCTTAGCTGTTAAGTTACCTAGAGAACAGAATTGAGAGCCAGAGAGGACTAGGTTTGGATACCAGTTCTACTCTCTATTCACTAGCTCTGTGACTTTGGGAGTTACCTAACTCCTCTATGCCTAGTGACTTTAAAACTAGGAGCTCCCCCATCATAAAGATGTGTTGAGGATTAAATGTGATCAAGGACCTGGTAGAGTTCTAGGGACAAAGCAGATACTCAATAAATACTAGTTTTCTCCCTGTGTCAACCACAGGCAATTACCAAGCTGTCAAGCTTATAAAATGCTCAAACTACATCTAAAGACACTTTTTCTCTCTCTTTTTAGCTCTTCATGTCTCTTGTAAAAGTCAGCAAAGCAGCCATCCCTATGCCTCTCCTCACTGCCCTCACTGCAGATGTGATCACAGTACTCCTGGTATCTGTTACCTCACCTGGATTTTTGGAAACTGAATTTTATCTCCTCCCAGGGCATATGGCCATTTCCTTAGCATTTTGCTGGTATTACCAATGATGAGAGACAAATTATCTAGCTCTCTCAGTGAGAGCCAGGGTCACTGAATTCCTATCTCAGCACCAACTGTTTTCTAAATGACTTCATGCAAACCACATGCTTAGCAATGTCAAATAGCTCTTTTTAATAACCTTAGTGTTCAGGTTCCTTTGGCTATAAAGCATAAAGATGTTAAAGAAATGGGTTCAGTGTGTTCTGGTTCCACAGGAAAAAAAAGCATTCTGTGCTTCTGTTTTACTGCTGTTTGGGAAGCAGTGTCCAAGGTAACAAGAGAAGCAGTCGTTCCATACTGCTGGGCAGAGCAGTGCAAATTAAAGAGAGCTCAGTCCATAGAAAGGAAACCATTAATTCCTGAGAGTGGAAGTTATAACACCTATCTTTAGAAATAAATCCTAAAGAAATAATCATGGATGTAAGTAAAATCACAGCTACGAAGATGTTCATCAACGTGCTAGCAATAATACAAAAGAATGTGGGTAAATTTTATGTAAGAGATTGAAGGATTGCTTAAACAAATAATGGGAATCATAAATATTACATTTATTTAGGGGGTTAATGGGAGTGGGGTGTGGGGATAAAATGCCTTGTTTGGACCAAGGATGGATGATAATGCTCTATGAACTGAGGAGTACGATTAACTCAACCCTTGAGCCAGAAAACAAAAGAAAACAGAGCAAAAATTCCCAAGTACTGCTCTTCTCCCATGCTGTTGGGACTCTTAAATTAGCAACAGCTGTATAATGCACAGGGCGTGGGTGCAAACCAGATGTCTCTCTCTTTACCCTCTGATGGAGAACTGGAGCCGTGGCTGAGAGACTAAAAAAGCAACATGCAACAACACCTTGAGCTGGGTTGACTCCAGTGAGGGCTCCTGTATACCCCAGCCTACTGCTGGGCCATTTTTCCTGCTGATATCCATGGTCTCCTATCTCAGAGGTGGTTCTGCTTTATAGATGAGGGCACCTCTCATCAGAGAGCTTAACAACACATAAGCCTTCTCTCTCAGATAAACCATGGATTTCATCTATTTTCCAAATGGTTTAGTAGCCACCAATACCCATCACCTTCAGGCGTCAAGTACAGTACAGCCTATGGACTATAGTCAATGGGGAAGACTTGTGTCTTCGGTACAGCAGCACTGAACCAACAGTGCTTCCTCATCTTCAGGTGCTAGAGACCCTGCTCCTTTGCAGCACCCCCAAGAGATGGTAACTAGATGCTGAAGAGATTAAAAACTAAAAGCCATGGCCTTCACAGCTGGGAGAAATACTTCCATGTCTACACTTGGCATAGAAAGGCTCGGGTCATCCACCTTCAAATGGACCATGTGACCCTAGTCACGAAGCACTCTGTGATGACTGTTATAAACTGAGGACTAGAGGTCCTCTTCCTGTTTACCAAATACCACTCAAAATTAAATTGGGCCCAAAGCCCAATTAAAACTGATCTGTCTAGAGAAACACGTCTTCCTATTTCCAAATGTTGTGGAATAAATCCATGCTGACCATTCATGGGAGTCCACTGAAGATTCTAGGAGTTCCTGCACAAAGCAAATCTAGAATTAGAGCCAGCTGCTATTGAGACAATGGTCATGACCTGCACGGAGAGCCGGGCAACAGAAACCCTCAGAAGCCCACGCCAAGCCCCTGAGATAGTAAGGCAGGGCGAGAATGAGTGCGAGAGAATCGTGGGAATGTTTTACAGTCCCCCAGGACAAGGTGGAGGAAGTAAGGAGGGATGGATGCAACCCTTGCTTCTGAAGAGATTCATTTCTCTGCAAGTGCCAGAAAAATATCAAAAAGACAGAGAGACTCAAAAGGTAATTTTTTAAAGGCCCCTATATTTCATTCTGAAGGTTTAAATAAAAGTGTAAAAAAAACTTAAAGTCCAGAACTTCTTCCTAGGGGGAGTGACATCTTCTCTGTTAGAGTCTGGAGCCTGGGATTAGCCCAAGGTCCCAAATCTGGACGAGTGTCCTAAGGTTGGTACCAACATGCTGAGGTATATGGAGAGGAAGGAAGTTATCCTTCCTAGAATGAAAATGATAACTGCTAGGAATAGAGCTTCTTACTCTTGGGGAGGGCTAAAATTCCTCCACTGGGAGACCATCGAGATGTAGTAGCCAAGAAACCATGATGGCTGGAATAGGGTCTTGAGGGTATCAGTTAAAGCAATTAGCATTCTCAATGTGACCACTGAGCAACTTCCAGCTCCTGTAAGATGAATGCCTTAGGACAAGCTTTAAGCCATGTTATAGCTCAAAAGAAGTGGACAGACTCCTGAGTCTCACCCAAAAATCTCACTGAAATTTTAAACCATAGGCCCTTGGGGTGCTGCAAAGGGAAACTTTAGTCTCTCAAAGTATGCACGAGACCACTTAGAAGAGATCCTATTCTCTCTGCCCCAAGTTCAGGACCAAAGTCAATTTTCCTCTCTATGCTTTTAGCTACAGAGGCTGCTGAAAGAAGAAAAGGGATAGGTTGCTCACCATCAGGAGCAGGAGAGTCAAACATAAAGAGGATTATTCCAGGGATACCTGCACTGGCCTTGTTGGGGAGCTCAGGAGAAGATTTACATCATTATTAAAGGTCTGACTGTTACTTCTCAGGGATGAACAAACCTTGGCCCACAAGCAAGCTACCAGAGGACATTCTGCTTTGTCTCCACTGATGTGTGGCTTGAAATACAACTTGAGGAAATACAACTCAGAGGAGAAGGGGGCCCATATCCACAACAAGAGCACTGACACCTACAGGGGAGCAGCTATCCAGAGACAGGAACTAAATGGTCAGTAAAGGACAAACGTCTCTGTAACTGCCTTGCTTTTCAAGAGGACGGGCATCTCATGGCTAGTTAGTCCAGGACAAGAGTCCACGACTAATAAGTTGTGGCATGCTTGGGGATGTGTTAAGGGACAAGAGGGGGATAAGAGAGAAGAGAAAACCTGGTCAAATAAGATATTAGGCATAAATGGTTTATTTCTCCTCTAAATCATTTCCCCTTCTTGCCCCAGGCATCTGGCCCTAGAAGAGGGGGAGGGAGAGGGTAAAGGGCAGCACATTCCATACACTCTTCACTTAGACCCCCCAGCCCAGTTTGGAGAAACATGAGTCATGTTGCTATGTGTCACCCAAAGTTAAAATGGAGGTATTTTTACTTAGCCATCTGAAGCCACTTTTCAAGTTCACTGTCTAAGGGAGGGGCATGATCCTAGAAAATAAAATTAGGCTTCTAATCATGGTTATGAAAATGTTAACCCATATTATACCCTTGCTATAAAAAAGTTGCTAGAGGAACTAATAGAAAGAACAAGAGATAAAGAAAGAAAGATAATACAAGAGCAAAGGGATAAGACTCAAGGATAATATTAAGGAGATAAGGGCGTGAGCCCAGCAGGAGCGGCTCAGCCAGCTCGCGCTGTCCTGAGCACCAGAACGTTGCCTACTGGATTCCTGGTCAGGCCGCAGACCTGGGTTGAGGGTTCCATCCCCCGCAGGGCACACATGGAAGACAGCCTGTTGAAGTTTTTCTCTCGTGGGCCCATGTTTCTCTCTCTTCAATACTCTGTCTCTCCCTCCCTCCCTCCTTTCCTCTCTCTAGGCATGTCCTCAGGTGAGGGTTAAAAAAGAAAACTTACCAAAAAAAAAAAAAGAGAGAGATAAGGGTGGGAGTGTCAGGGTTGGTGGAAAGGGGTGTGGTTGAAATGATACACTCTACATTGTAACATCTGTGATAGCAGTTGGTTTGAATTTCTTGAGTTTCACTGTAGAAATTAACATCCTTAAATATTTTTTGGACGCAGGCCTGGCATCAGTTATGCCCTATACATACAGTCAAACACGTAGGCATCGTGCACTTTAAAGCTGGCTTCCCCTCTGATAGTCTATATTCATTCGCCCCAAGAGACTATGCCTGTAGGACAAGCAGGATATTTAAACACTATGTTTATCACTGTTCCTTTGTTTGTACCTGCTCTTGCATCTTGTCTCTGAGCCTGCTTGGACCACTCTGATTTTGGTACACACATCAGCTGGGGAATCGGGACAAACGAAGCAACCAATGAGCAGTTTCCTCTCACCTTTTTCAACTACTGATATTTCTATACCATGAAGCAAACGAAAGTTTTCAGGCAGGAAAGTCTTTTCTTACTTTTTAAAGATGACACAGTGGCAATCCAGTGATTAAAGCTCCCTGCCTGAATGATGAAGCTTCAGGCTCCACTGTGTCCTGTTATTGTCACAGCTCCTTCTGATTCAATTAGGGGCAGCACAGTGGGGGATTTCTGCCTGGTTTCCAAGGACCTAAGACTTTTATTTTTATCACATACTAAGTTGGTTTTAAACAAAGCTTTGAAGCTTCCCAGGGCTAATCTTTAATGAAATTGGAGAGGCAAATAAAAAGGCTGAATAAATCCCAATGAAAGCAGCAAAGGTGTTAATTCGGGGAGGATGGGAGGAGTTTAAAAGAGGCAAGGGTAGATTCAGTAAAAAGAAATACTCAAAATTTAACAGCGAAGAGATTAGTTAAAATAGTAGGCTTTCCATTTTATTAACTCCCTCTACTGCCTGAAGAATCATTTTAAAAAGCAGAAGATTAAAAATACTAATAAGGAATCGTTATTAGATTACATGTTAGCAGTTATTCAGCAATGCTACTGAAACTGGGAATATAAAAGCTGCTATATCTAAGCCCGTCTTTTTCTTCATTCTTCTGATTTTCTGGAAATACCTATTCACTGAAAAAAAAATTCTACATTGATCCCAACCCAAAAGAGATTATTTTTAGAAACCCTATGAAACCTCATCAGTCTGGTTAGGGCTATGAAATGAAACACAGATGTGTAGATTAGTTTTGAGGAAACAGTGAAGAATGATATATTTGGTCTTTAAAATCCAGTATTTTGGCTATGATAAATTATAACCAGGTTAAGATGAACTGAGAATGGACAATACTGTGTTCCACATAGCTCAACTCAAGTTCTTTCAATGAAAAAATGAGCATCGTACACTGGGCCCAAGTTATAAAAATTTGACATTGTTGAGTTGGTTTAAAAGTTATCACGAAAGTCACTGATTTTTCATAACAACTGAGTTTTGTGTTCCCTCATATTACGGCATCTAGGTGATTTTTCTTACAAACCTGTATTTTTCTCTATATTCCTCCTCCTGAGTAGGAAATATCTTCCACTGGAAATGGGCAATGATGTTACTGCGGTTGTAAAGGGTTACAGTTCGCTGATTGGCCAGAGAAATGTAGGTTTTCTCAATGATCAAAGAATTCTTGTCCAGCCTTATATTCATGTCTATGGCAGCTCCATATAGAGACACAAACATTTTTTCACCTAGAAATTAACAAAGTAAACACACTTTGAGATTTATTCTAGAACGATACTACTAGGGCTGTTTTCCTCACAAGGTGAAGTTAGGGAATATTGCACAAGCATTACACATTTCATTCCTCCCCCCCATCAACCCAGAGGTCAGATACGATTAGAAAATAATTAAATTATGTTGGGTACAATTATAGAGAAGCAAACTATCTTGCTTGGTCACTGTAAAAAATACATAAAATATGAATTGTGGTGGTGGGGGCTACTAGGCTTTTTTTTCCTTTGTCATAGTTTTGAATCCTACAGTCCAACCATGAGGGCACCTGAGTTCTAGAATTATAACCATATGTTTCATCTCTATCTCAAGCATGAGCTGGATTTCTGATTCTTAAAGTAACTGTACCACATATATCTGGGAAGAGCTGCTCAGCAAGACAGGATCTAAGTCCAGTCAAAGGGGATCAGGAAATTTAATAACTTCATTAATAAGAAACAGACTATTTAATAGAAGCCACATCCCTAAACAATAGCAATTAAAAGAAAACAAAAATGAAACACACACACACGCTTCAAAAATAGAAAGGAAAAGCTATGTTTATATATAAAATACCATTTCATAACCATCAGATTAATATAAATCAAACAGTTTGACAATGCTGTTTTGGCAGTATGTTGTCAAGGATGTAGAAAAACAAGAATTTTCTTAGACTGCTGATAGAAATACATATTGGTACAACCACCTGATTAATCAATTTAGTATCTAGTAAAGCTCAAGATTAATTTGCCCTATAACTTAGCAATTGTACTTCTAGACATTTATCCTTAGGGACAATCTCCTACAGCTACACATACACAACTCACTGGAACACTGTTTGTAATAGCAAAAAACTAGGAACATCTAATATTCAGTAGGTGAATGGATAAATTATAGTATATTCACATGCTGGAGTATGTTGCATTAGTTAAAATGAATCAGAGCAAAGTATATCTATATGTTTAAATCTTTAAAACATAATGTTGAATGAAAAGTCAAGTTAAGAAATGGTACATACAGCATGATACCATTTATATGACATAAATAAAACTACTCAAGATAATAGTGCATGTTGTTTATGGATAAGTAAATATGTTGGACTAGCACAAAAATGCACCCAATACAGCTCCTCTGAGGAATAAGATAAGAATATTAGATCAGGAAAGAGTAACGAGGTGACTTCAAATCTATAATCATTTCAGTCATCCATAAAATAAAAGATCTGAAAGAAATGTACATAGCAAAATGTTGAGATGTGTTCAGTATAATGGATGTTGATTATATGTCTGTGCTTTTGTGGTTATTTGAAATACAGGGGTGGCCAAAAGTAGGTTTACAGTTGTTCATATGGAAAAATATATAATACAAGAATAAATAATAATACAAGAATAACCTCTGTGTTTCGTGTACTCACAACTGTAAACCTACTTTTGCCCACCCAGTATTTCATTGTTGAAAAAATCAATCAATGAAAAGATACAAGGGTTTACTTATTTCACGCAGATCTAGGGGGTCAGGGAGACTAATGTCATCAACCTGAGTTGCTCACTGCAAAACTGCTCCTTCCCAGATATACAGCAAGAGTCACCATATTCTTTTCAAGAACCACCTAATATTCATTTTTTTACCAGTATCTTCTAAAAATCATCAGATCCACAAAGTGAAGGAAACAATAACGCTTGTCTTATCCCCACTTGCTTCTTACACCCACTTTCACGAAGAAAACCTTAGAAAGGGTCCCAGCCCCCAGCTCCATAGCCGAAGGATAGGGTGGAGGTTTTACGCCTATAAGAATAGACAAGGTTGCTGTGCCTCAGCATTTTCTGTGTCCTTGGAGTGCCTGTTCCCTCAATGGTTTCTTTTGGGTTTCTGGGGTTGAACACTGCAATTATTGTAGATGAGATTAGCCACCATCATTTATTCTGTCTTAGTAAAGATATATTTTGTAGAAGGTCTCATTACCTCTTGCCAGTTTTGCTACTATCAATCTAGTAAAAACAAATATGAACAAAACTAATTTTACCAAAAAATGTGAAGCCAGCTATATACACAATATATTTCATACTGTGGTTTCAGTACTTTCACACAGCAGAGGATAGTTTAAAAAATATATATGAGCGGAGCCCTAGATTCTCTAGGGCAGAGATTTTCAACCTTTGCCATCTCATGGCACATATAAACTAATTACTAAAATTCTGTGGCACAACAAAAAATATATTTGTTGCCTATCTGACAAAAAAATAGATATAATTTTGATTCATTCACATCAAACGGCTATTGTTGTGTTGGCTGTTGTCATTTTTTATTTGACAATCTAAGGGAAAAGAGGTCAGTGCCCTTGACTAAATAGTCAGGTATTGCATGTTTTAAAATTTTTTGAGGCACATCGGTTGAAAACCACTGTTTTAGGGAACTGACAAGTTGATGAGTGGGGTTTCTCACCTCTTGGTCACAGCAGGGTCAAATTCACCAGTCAAGTGAATTTTTGAAACAAGCTCCTTTGGAAGTGCCCTTTGAAGGGTTTGAGAAGCAAATTATGGGACTTGGCTGAGCTCACCCAGCACACCAGTGGCAATGCCAAAATCGGTATTTCTAATCTGCACGGAAGGCAGTGTAGGATTGTGGAAAGGGCACTGGTCTCAGATGGTGCCGAAGACCTGGGTTCAAGTTCCAGCTTTACCTAGATATGCAGTCATTGAATGTCTCTGGGCCTCAGTTTACTGATCTCTCCAATAAAGGGAATTAAAGAGAGGCCCTCTAATGTCCCTTTAAATACTATCACCTAATGACTTGAGAGTCTTCCTGTGTAATTTACGGAATTCTCATTCCACTTCCCTACACAATCCCTGACCACCTATGTGTCCTAACTTCTGCTATTCCCTATCCTAGGCTATGAAATAAAAATCAAAGAAAAATAAAACTAGATCAAGGAATATTTCCATTGCCTCTAAGCCACGTTAAAACATTTCCTTCTTTTACAATAACTATGCTTTGTTAGGTTTTCTAATTACAACAGCACACATTTATAATATAATAATCGCATAACTGAAACAAAGTTCATGCAGTTAAATCTGCATAAGATATATACTATTTAGCAGTTTCAACTGCAAGATAGCGTATCACTCTCAATTACTTACTATATTATACTTTGGTATTCCTTTATTGGCTTTAAGAAGGGAAAAAAAGAATTTCTTTATGGTTCACTAGAGCAAAATATATAATTGACCATAAAGCTGCCCTGTGGAGTACTAATATTATTATTGCTTTTACATTTAATAATATATCATCACACCTTTGGGAAAAAAGCCTACTTGCCAACTCCTGAATTGAAATATCTCCTCTTCAATAAGAGACACAGTACTTTTTAAAATGCCAAATAAGTGCATTAGTATATCCTGATTATGCTAGTGGTTAATGTGACCTCTAAGGTGACAGCAACCTTACCAGGCACTGACGAAAAACCACTGCTGTGCTCCTACTTCTAGTGCTCATTCAGAGTAACCAAAGGTTCAATAAGAATGTCTCTTCCTCAAGCCTGTTCTGAATACTAGTATTTCCTTGAACCCTTAGGCTCAAGTTTCTCAATACCCAGCTGAAAAATGCAAAACTTAAGCAATTAATCATTTGATTCTCTTTTAATAGTCGATTAATATCTTCAGGTCTCAGTTTTATTGAAAAGATAGAACTAGTTCATTCATTATGTTTTGTTTTGTTACCAGCGCAGTAGTCTTGAGTGCTCATACTCTCAACCTTTTCCGGAGGGTTTGTCAAAGGTAGAAAGTTCCTTCAGTTCCTTCTCAGTTTTAGACAAATCATTGCTAGGGGAAAAGCGATTCCTGAACAAACTTGATTCCACTCTAGAAGGGCAAGCACAGCAAGAAAGGGGGAGGATCCCGGTTCAGGAAAATGTTAATGAATATCATATTAGATGTTGGTGAAATTTATACTCCATCTCCTTAATTGCTAGACCACTGGTTCAAACTCTGGTTGTTGGAAAAGCAAAATCTCCTGGCTGCATTTAACCAAGAACATACCCGGTGGAGGACCAACAACTGAAGGGCATAAACACAACAGTTTTAGAAATGTGACTGAGTACTTCCCGCCGAGGGGAGCAAAGCCCCTCCTGGAACGCTGCCTGGGGAAGCAGGAAGAAAAGCCCACGCTAGCCTTCCATCCTCAAACCAGCTCATGCTTCAAACAGCTGCAGAAGGCTCAATCAGACGCTCCGGGGACGAGGCCAGCGACCACGGCTGCTTGGAAGAGCCGCATGATTAGTGTGTTTAGGCAGTCATTACGGTTTTCACTCATGAAAGGTTGGTTATAGGTCCTGGGCATTAATAACCCGTAATAAAGATGAAAGCATATTCTTATCAGCAGTTTGTTTCATGTAAGGAAAACTGCTACAAGACAGTTTACCTCTGTCTGCAATCTTTAGAAAATGACTTTTATTCATGAACCAAAGTTGACACCAGAACCTCAGGACATGGAAATCAACTTCGCCATAGATGACTAACTTTTAATATTCAAACATTCACTTTCTTGAGCACAGGACTATACATGTAAGTATGGTATCAATCAAATACTTACATAATCCCGATCGAGGGCCACTGGGAGAATGCAGCTGCATTTCAAAGTCAATGGATGAGGGAGTAAAGATGCAAAAGTAGTAATATGAGAGACTGGGGAGATGACCCACTATGGTGGAAAAGGCACTGCGCAGGAGTTGAGAGTCTGGGTTCGAACTGTCCCTCTGACAAGTTATGTGACCTTGTGCAAGTCACTTAATTTCTTAGGAAAATTGCTTGAAAAAGTTTACCAAAAATTATACAAGAAAAAAATAGAAAATCTCAGATCCATGTATACTGAGAAACTGAACAATTTTAAGAAAAACAAACTTTAGGTTCAGATAGCTTGAATAATGATTTTTCCAATCATTTAAGGAAGTTACAATCTTAAAGAAAAAAAACTTTTTCTGGAGAATAAAAAAAGAGAATAATTCCCAACTTGTTTTATGAGACCAATTGGTTTTTTAAGACCAAAGACAAGGGCATTACATGAAAAGACAGTTACAGGCCAATCTTTTTTATGAATTTGGATGTCAAATTTTCAAACAAATTATCAGCAGATCTAATCCAGTGATTTACTAAAACAATAACATTTAAAACTTAGATTTAACCCAGAATAGAGCAGGGATTTAGCATTTGAAAATCAATCACTGCATTAGAAGAGCAAAGGTGAAATAATATATAATAGTATCAATGTATACAGAAGTAATTGATGGAATTCAACATCCATTCAAGATGAAAAGAAACCTAGAAATAGAAAAAAGTTTTCTTAATCTGATAGAGAGTATCCACTAAAGATATACTAAATGATGAAACCCTGAGCACTTCCCCTCTGAGATTGAGAACAAGAGAATGACATTGATTATCAGTATTTCCATTGAACACTGTACTGAAGGCCTAACCTGTGCAAGACATGATAAGAAATAAAAGGTATAAGCACTGAAGAAGAATTAAACTATCGTTTGCAGGTGACCTGGTTGTATGTATGCAAAATGCAAAATAGTCTACAGATAAACTATGAGCTAATAAGTTAATTTATCAAGGTCTATAGATAAAAGATCAACGTAAAAAAATTCAACTGTATTTTGATATACCCACAAAAATTTAGAAAATAGAATTTGAAAAAATACCACACTAGCCATAAAAGAAAAAGAATGATAAAGTCTACTTGATAAAAATTAAATTATTTTGCTAATGAAAAGACACTGTTAAGAAAATTAGGAACATCTACTGACTATGAAAAAATATTAAATTAAAATCTGTACATCTTACTGTATCTAAATTATATATACCACAATAAAAATATACTTAAAAATCACACCAACATAAAAAAACCAATGAACATATGACTAAATCTAACCACAATGTTCAAACTTCTACCCAGAAAACTACTGATTAAAGAAAACCTAAATACATGGAGGAATAAACCATGTTTATAATACAGAGAGAATTATAAAGTAGTGGGAAAGAATGAACTATTCTATAAATAATGCTGAACAATGTGAAAAAGTCAGATTAGAGTCAGTTTTAAGTAGTAAATTAAACTGGAGATTGAAATAACTAAAATACGCAATAAAATATTTTTAAAAATAAGGACACCAAAGGGAAGTGAAGAACAGCAGGAAGTAGTGTAGTGCCAAGGCTGTCTTTTGCCCTAATGGCTTTTGTTAGCCCTTGAACTTCTGCTCCAACTATTGTTTTGTATTCCTAGGACAGGAGACAAAGTCCAGGGCCAGGCCAAAGCGGAAATGCTAAATTCAAAACTTACAAATCACAAAGGGTCGTAAGATATGATGGAGTTCAGGACACTCCCAAATATGGCACCTTGGCAGGTGCAGGAAGGATTCCTTGGAGAGTCCCCGGAAGCAGGTCGTAAGGCCCTCATTTGAGAGGTGACCCCCATACTTGGATGACAGGGGCATCCTTATCCACAGGGACAGAGGGACACTGAGGGGAATCTGAGCCAACAGGCCTCACTGCTTCCCCGTTTCCCACATGCAGCTCATACCCTTTCGTCCTATCAGGTTTTCCCACAGCTGACCGCTCTCCACAAGCCTCACGTAAAAACACAGGTTTATCCACCCCTTCAGGCCTTCATTTCCTCACGAAGGCTCCCGTGTCACATAAGAATTACAGTCAATAAATCTGTATGCTTTTCTCTTGATAATCTGTCTTTTGTTACAGGGGCCCAGCCAAAAGCCTAGAAGGGTTTAGAAGAAAGATAATTTCCCTCCTCTACAGATGCCATGGTTAAAAATCATCAGAAACAATAAACAGCAAATGAAATAAATAAGCAGATTTAATATGTTTGAATTATCAGATACATAAATAACTATGTTTAATATAGTAAAATATTTTATATTAAATATTTAATATTTAATTTAAATATAATTAATATATTTATAAATATATAATTATATATAATTAATATAAATATAATGTCAAATATATTAATTTTTTTTTAAAAGGAAAACTTGAAAAATAAGAGTAGAGAGCACTCTGATTTAACAAGGACAAAATAATATTTCAGAAATGAAAATAATTATAATTGAAAAATTGAAACTCAGCAGATGAGAGAGACTTCACTGAAGAGTAAATTACTGAATGGATAAGATGTATGCAGAGATGTCTACAGAGACAAACAAGAAACATACAAGGGCGGTTAAAAGAAATAAGTAATAGAGTAATAACAGATTCCATAATAGAATAAAGAGTAACTAATTGAAATTTCAGAACAGGATAACAGAATGGGGAAGAGCCAATAATCCATTCGGAAGGAAAAAGAAACATGGTGCCTACCTCACACATATACAAAAATGAAATCAAAGATCAGTCATTAACCTAAACATAGATACTAAAACTAATACCCTTCTAAAAGTAAACATAGGGGAATATGTTCATGATCTTGGAGAAGGCAAAGATTTCTTAGCAAGAAGGCAAAAAGCATTAATCCTAAAAGAAAAAAGCTGATAATGTGGGTTTCATCAAAATGAAAATTTTCTGCTCATTAAGAAATATCATTAAGGAAATGGAAAGGCAAGCTACAGACTTGAAAGAAAATATTAACAATACATATATCTGACAAATGACTAGTACTCAGAATATGCAGTTATAAAGTACTCTTACAAATTAATAATAAAAGATATATGAATGGCTAGTAAGCACATGAAAGGGGCTCGATATCATTAATCATTAGAGAAATAAAAATTAAAGCCACTAGAAGACATCACTTTACACACTGGTATACCTGAAGTGAACAATACACCACCATGTGTGGGCAAGGATGTGAAGCAACTGGAACTCTCACGCTTTGTTGGTGGGAGTGTAAAATGGCACAGCTACTTTGGAAAAATCATTGTCCCTGATGTGTTATAAGCTGTGTTTTTAACCTTCCACTGTTGGATTATGTGGACCAACTCCTTCCTTTGCTTAAGCTAGTTCAGGTTAAGTTTCTCTTGCTAGCAGCCAGTGAATTATGGCCAACACTAAAAGATAAGAAATAGAGATTGTGCCACTGGTTATATGCTGTTGTTACATTGGGCAATGTAGAGTAAGAACCACCTAACCATGTGTCCTTATGCAGTGGCTTGAATTGTCCTGCTCAGCTATGCATCCACAAAGCCAGCAGCTCTGCACTGTGACCTCAGTGTCATTTGTTGCTCTTTCCCTGGCTGTACACTTCTGTTTTCTCCCTACAATGCCCTTCTGATTCAGACAATCTGAATCACTCAGTGTGAACAGGTAAAAAAGAAATGCAAAGGAAATGAGGATATGAAATAATAAATGGGAATGCTAAAATATTAATTTGAAAAGCAACTTTGGATACTCGCATATTGTACATGCAGTCTACATGGGCATCAATTAAATACTTGCAAAAACAATGAATAATTTCCATCATTGTGCAGGGTGTGGCCTTCAAGAAAATGCTGTGGCCACTATTTGCACATTCTAAGAATTAAGGTAACTGGATCTTACATAGACTAGTGAGCACACACAAGACCATTCTGAACTGAGGTTTACATTTTCAAAATGTTAGATAAATGCAACGATAAATCAAGTGGAAAACACATGGGGTATTAAGTTACCTTCAAGTCCATTTACATATAAATAACCTCAATCTACTGCGTGACATCTGGGTATAGGTTCCTTTCTGAGCCCTGTATTTCTCAAGCATTGGAGAAACCAGTCAGGTGGGATTTGTATCTGCCTCAACATTATTTCTGTTGGAGGCATTCATTCTTTTTTTCTTTACCTTGTGGATTTTAGCTTACTCTAATGCAGACAAAACAACCGTCTCGTACTTTGCTTTGTCACATTTTCCATCTGGCCTTTCTTAACATGTAGAACTTTTAATAGAAGATAATGCATACCTGTGTCGTAATACACAATAAGCCTTTTGCTGTGACTGCCCACAGTCTGTGGCTCAAAATCCACTTCCAGCTGCATGGACTCTCCCACATTAAGAATTCCAACAGATGGCTCTATGGAGAACGGCCTGCAACACATGAGACACACCATCAGAACACATTCCTGTCAGTGTGAGGGGAGGGGAGGGATGCATGGGTCCTAGATCTATAGACGGCTCAGTCCTGACACTGTGTCAGTGAGTCTGAGGTAAAGTAGACTTTTCCCCTAATGTGAAATAACTTTAGTTTTAATGTTAAAATAACAGTAATAGATCAGCAAGTTTCAGAGAAACTGAAATGATGCAGTAATATTCTTGCTTGTGTCCTTGTCATTCAGCAGCCATCCGTTGAACACTCACTGAATGATTCCAGTAAGGGACAGATTTACAACATGCATGCAAATAATGTAATCTGCAAGCAAACAGTACCTGCAAAGGGATAAAAACCAAGTTTTGTGAGCGTTTAGAGAAGAAAGAACTTCATAATGAAGAAATATATCAGAGTCCCCAAAGGGAAGTGATCACACAATCACATAAGGACAGTCTGAGGGCAATTTAACAAAGGGTCTGTTTAAAGGAAGGGAGGGATACAGGAGAACTACAAGAGATGACGCCATGTCCCAAGGTTATTAACAGTAGAGCTGGTACCACCTCTAGGCCCAAACCCACAAGAGCTCTATGAGAAGCAAGGAGCTTTAGTCAACGGAGACAGCCAGCCCGGTGGCTTCACAGAGAACACTGCTGGGGGGAAAGTGTCCTGTCTGATGGCCTGCTGGGTTCCCAATGCCTGAACCCAACCAGAAGCCAAAGGACAGGAGCCTGTGGACCTGTGCCATACAGGTCAACCACCTGGGTGAAGGCAAGCTGCAGATGGGTGGAAAGCATTTGAAAAGGCAAATTGGGGACAAGTTCCGTGTCTTCAAGAATTTGGGCATGTAGACACTATGGGAAGGTAGGGTGGATTTGGAAATAGTTCCATTTAACTGTCCTGGAAGGGAGTAGTAAGAGAGAAACTGGATCTGATCATGAAGTACCTTAAATAATTTACAGTTTTAAAAAAAAATAATTTACAAAGTTCTTCCTTCAATATAGGAAACCCAGCCCACTTAATTATTTTCATGCTCCATTTCACTTCTTTAAATTGCTAGTTTTTCAAAGTAATGCATTGTACAATGTGTCTGGCAGGCTAAGCAATTTCTGATTATTTGCTTCTATCACAACCAATCCTTAAATCTCCCCGCAGATAATGAACTTAATTTCAGATCACCTAAGCTTTTTTCTAGGAGGGTACAGAGCTTCTGGCAAAGTTGCACTTGGTGCTTCCTCCCACAGGCAATTGTTTCTTTTCTCTGGTTTTCTTCATTTGAATCTCCCTCTCCTTTCTTCATTTTTCCATTTTGATATTTGATCTTTTCCCATACCTACGGCACCGATCCTCCAATGAACCCCCAGCATTGCTGTAGAGGTACAATGGTGCAGTGGTTACTAGACTGGAATCAATGGAATGAGTTCAAAACCCAGTTCTGCTGTGACCTTGGGCAAGGCATTGAACCTTCCATTTCCTCATCTGTGAAATGAGGGTCACGACAGCACCTGCTTCGTAGAACCCTATGAAGTAGTGAGGAGTAAAGGAGTTGATATGAGTGAAGTGCTTAGAATGATGCCTGGCACACGGAAAGTGCTAAAAAAAAGTGTTTATTATTATTGTTGTTGCTATTTTTATCTCCCTCACTGGCAGACCTAGATGGAAGATGAGCCTGGGGATGATCTTGGGTATTTAGATGAGTTCAAATTTTTATAATTCTCCTCTCAATGCTTTATGCTGCTCTAGAGATTTTGTAAAAAACACACAGGTCATAACACATCAATCTCTGTTCAAACACCTCAGTGGCCCTCGTAACCTAAGCCATAAAGTTCAAAGTCCTAGGCATTCAAGGTCCCACACAATCTGCTCCCAAGCCATTTTTGCATTCTCATTAAACACACACATCTGTCCAAATATCCTATATACCTGTCACACTCCAAGTCAGGCTGGGGTGGGATGGGATGGGATGGGATGGGAGGACTTGAGTCTCTTCACCAATAATCTCCCCTAACACTGCCACCTCCCCTCCCTTCCAGCCAGACTGTGTCCCCTACACAGACGTTCCGCATTCCTTTCAAAGTCACTTATCACAGCCCAGACTCAAAACCACCTCTTACATAGAATCTTCCCTAATTCTCCCTTTTGTTAATAGTGTCTCCTTCCTCTTAGAGGCTATAATTTTCTTTTTTACTTCTTACTACAGTTCACCTTGACTGTAGTTAGTTTTCATGCCTGCCTCTCTCAATAGCTACTCTTGAGATGAAAGGAAAGGGAAAGCAAAAAAAAAATTTCATGAGCACATATTCTGTGCTGGGTACCACACTGGGTATTTGACATATGTCGATTCCTCCAATCCTCAAAAAAACCTTGAGAAAGTAGGTATTGTTATTTGCATTTTAGACATGAGAAAACAGATGCTCCAAAAAGTCAGGCAACTGTCCCAAACTTATCCAACTAGGTGGTGGTGAAGATTGGACAGCAGCATGCCTTCAAGTTCAAGTTCTTTCGGACTACCCCAAACCACCCCTGAAGGTGGAAGACACCTGGTTAGATCCATCTTGGTGTCTCTCACCACCCCATGCACAGTTCTGTACTCACAGGAGCCTCTCAGAAGAGGTTGTCAGATTGAATTACGAAAAACTTTTAGAGGGAAATAAAAATATCTGTAATCATAAATTAATGTTAATAACATTCTGGTGGAACAGGAGAAGAGCAGACTTTATTATCTCAAGAATTTCTGCCTCATGTGAGACAAAGTTGAGTGTCACAGGCTCAAAAGTTCCATTTTTCCTTATGGCCTGGGTAAGAATCTAAAATGTTGAGAACTGGGCGCAGTGTCCTGGTTTGGGAACAACATAATCTACTGTAATATTTTCTTCCATCTTTGCCTCCCTAGTTCCTAATATTTTTCTTCCTACGCTGAAATGAAATTGCTTTCACTTTCTTTTCAAATATTTCTTGGTAGCAAAAGAACAGTTTTGAAATGAATTGGGTAGTGTTACATTGCAGAACCTAAGCTAATTTTCTATGAAAAACAAAAGTGACCCTTCTCCAGAGACTCCAGAAATCCAAATTACATATGGAGGTAACGGATACTTTCCTGTTGTGCTAATGGTTGGGTTTATATTACACTAAATTTCTTCAGTATATAGAAAATCACCTGGGATAGCCACTGCTACTTAGAGCTGCCTAAGCTCTCTCAATAAATCAGACCTTAATTGGGTAGAGTGTGCTAAGTTCTGGTGCTTAAACATTGTCTGTAATTTAATTTTGTACTTCATTTTACTAAAAGCAGACAGGCTGAACAGGCTAGAAAATATCAAGTATCAGAAAATGCTCTTACAAAGAGGTAGAAGTATTATTCCTCAAAGGTATGATGCCAGCTCTCTCTACCAAAGTGTTTCGTTTTGATACCACATCCTCATTAATACCAAATACTCGATTAGGGAAGAAACTCAGGTTTGTGAAAAATCATGAGCCGTAAGAAAGATTTTAAGGGACTTTGGAAGATTTTTTTTTGGTTCAATCCACTATAAACTACTCTTAAGAACTAAAACTGTTCCATCCAAATGATTCGATATTTTAGCAGAAGACTAAATATTGGCTCTATTCTATTATATATTGAATATTAGAATTTTTTCTTCAGGTAAGCTTTTTATTAGCTGATTTCTAACTTGAGGTTTTAGATTTTGAAATTGCTTCTCAATCCTTTCTGTTTCACCTTCTGAAATTAATCCTACTGTAATAGTCAAAGTTATTCTGGTACCTACTAGAGTGTTAGGTCAAACCTGTAACGAAGTCGCGGAGTAACTGTTTGTGTTCTCCGCATATTTCAAGCCCGTGGCAGCTCCTTGCATTAGTGTAAGAAACATTATGCTCATTTTATAGACTGGAGCGTGCTGCAGCGCCGCCTTTGTGATATGCTGCTGGGCAGGCGTCCTGTAGACAGGTATTGAGCGCTGATTTATCTTAGATACTGTGCGGACGCCGGGACACACATGAAGGGTTAGGCACAACCTTTGCGCTTGAGAAGCTCACATTCTAATGGCAGCAACAGACACACAAACAAAGTTTTCTTTTTTAGAATTTATACGAACTTGACCATTTATAAACTTAAATGTTAACTAAATCATTTCAATGATAAGAATATGATGTTTTTAAAACTACTCCCTGTGCGATATTATTTCTAACTGTATATTGACTCTAAAAGTAGCAAGACCAAGAGCAGATGCTGGGTTTTTGACTGCCTCCAAATTCTCAAACTGTATCCACGGCTCTGCCACATCTGTTGACAATCGTATTAACTGAAATAGTGGTCCCCAACCCTGTCTGGGCAACACAGCCACCTGTGTGTTTTTTAGAATGGATACCTGTCAGGGGATCTACCAGAGATTCTGACTCAACGTGATGTGACCACAGATTCAACTGCACCCTTTTTCACTGCAGCCATCAGGGTTCTCAGCTGTAAACAACAGAAACCAACTCTGGCCAACAAACAGAAAAGGGATTTATTGGAAGGATTTGAAGGAGCTCACAGAATTGACAGCATGGTTGGAAAACATGCATTTTGTGGAAAGAACAGAAAACTGCTATTTCATGCAAAGTCTAAGCAGGAAAACAAAAATATTTGAAAACAGGGAATTTAATTGAGAGACTTGGTTACACAGAAGAAGCGATGAGAAGCCCAACTTAAGACAGTGAGCTAGCTCAGGGATTAGTAACAACAGTAAGCCATTTCCACCCCCAGGCTGGAGGTAAAAGGTGAGGAAGTGTTTGTTACCGGAAGTTGCAACCATGGTAGGTTTGTCTGCAGGGGCTAGAAGCACAGAGAAAATGCTTGCTGGGGACTCTGCTGAAGCCAGGGAGGGAGGAGGAGATATACCCAAGCTTCTTCCCATCCTCTAATCTCCTTCTAGTGTCCCGAACTGGTCAAACCCACCTGGTACCCTGCTGACTCGGGAGGCCGGGGTGGGGG